TAGCACTCTCAAGTCACCGTAATGCCAACCGACTCGATGGAAGATCATGGCCCAAAGGGAGAGCAAAACAAGCACCAAGATCTTAGAAACAGTATCAACCAATATGAACTTGGTGTCCATCTGGTATGGGTTGTTCTGAGATATGAAGTGGAATGACAGCACCGGAATAGAAAACATAGCAACAAAACGATTGATGCTGGAGCATTGCTCCGACATAAATATCTTCTACTTCATTGAACCATACGCCACCAACATAGCAAAGTAGAATGGAACCATCGCGTACATTTCTTGATATTTTTCGCTTGAATAGGCAGAGGAAGATGATGAACAGTGTACTGCCCTTTCTTGATATTTTTGCAAAAAAGTTATCTTATTTTGATTATTTTATAAAAATATTACTTTTTATTGATATTCAGGGCGAAAAGTTGCCCTTATCTGCAAGAAACCCTTGATTTTAACACTTGCACTTAAAATAACTTCTAGGCCATCGGATTAAATTCAAAAAGATTTGAATAATTAACCTTTAATGGAAAGAAGCCCATTTTACATTTTCCAACCAACTTCCAACCCTTCAGCTTCTAAAATTTCTTAATTTGACCTTTTTGGCAGTCCACCCAATTCCTTCCACATGTCGTCAATTCACACACATTAGCTTCTTCTTCTTCTTCTTCCTTCATCTCTGGAGGCTAAAGTTTCACTTCGATCTCCAACACCACATATATAGTTTCTCTAGCAATCTTAAGTAAAGATTTCCAATGCTCGGTGGACTTTTTTATTTCACTCCAACCACCTTGATCTTGGCCACTCGAAGTTCTTGCAAACAATAAACTTCCAAGGCTCCAACACATACTTATACTATTTTGTGAAAAATGTGTTCCTGCCAAAGGTTAAATGGCAACCCAAATAGCCTAATTATCGTAGTCCTTTCTAGGAGGAGCTTCTCATTACAAGCAACTGACCAGTTCTCCAAGATAACTAAACCAAGAGGCATTTCCAAAGTCATCATTTCCATTTGGATTTCCCCCATGTTTATGATTGCCTTCCATTCATCGAAAGGAATAAGGATCACCTTCTCCTTTGAGTGAGTCTTCTCCATAATTTCTTCTAGTATTTTCTTCCAATCTTTTACTTCAGTTCTTGCCTTCACTACCTTCCTTTTCCCCAATCTGTTCTCTTTCCTTCCCACATTATTTTCAAGCAGGATTACAAAGCAAGAATAATTGACTTTTTGTTACTCACCTCTACATCTTCTAACTTAGAGTCCAAGCCCCATCTTCTGTTCTTTTGCTCCCAAATTTGTTGTATCCTCTATTTTCATTGGCTTCCTTTCCTTTAATGTAACCTCTTCTTATGCCATAGCTAGCATCGACCACCCCTGTCTTCCTCCACCATCCAATAAACAAATCATTTATTTCTTTCCCTTGCTGGTGAACCCTATTGGCTACATGAATTCAAGATTGCATTTGAATGAAATTATAGTAGGCATGAACCAGGAAGACCAAAAGAAAGAACATAGAGGGAGTGATAATGTTAGGAAGTTCTTTGTTGACATCCAAATAAAGAAACTAAAAAGCAATTAGGTTTTGCAGTTTTGTCCTTTTAAGTTAAGAAGTGCTTTGACTGACTTGAATAAGGCTAGTGGATTTCTGTCTTGAAAGGAAAAAGGAAGAAAAGAACTAGATTTGAAGAGAAGGGAAGAGAGAGAGAGGAAAAGAAAGGGGTTCGATTGATGAATTTTGCCGCCCCATGCACTTCATTGTATATAGTTTTGGTTCCTCACAAGAATAGGAGATAAAACATAAAATCCTAGTCCTAATAAAACAAAACATAACATGAATAAGGCCAGTCAGCCCAACTTAAAAGGAATTAAAATAGCTAGGTTTGGGTATGGAACCACACACACTAGAGCCTGAGTGTGGGTATGGAACCCCACACTCGTGGCTTACTAACTATTTCTACACTCCCCCTCAAGTTGAGAGTAGATATTTATCATGCCCAACTTGCGTAAATCCGTCTCTAATTTGATTTTTGTGACTGCTTTGGTAAAGAGATCAGCTAACTGCATGTTTGAGGCAAATGTAAGGAAGGCATATTTCTTGAGATGTGACTTGCTCTCAAATAAAATGTCTATCAACCTCAATATGCCTAGTCCTACCATGTTGTATTGGGTTGTAGGCAATATTAATTGCAACTTGATTATCGCAATACAGCATCAAAGGCTTCTCATAATCAACTACCAACTCATTAAGCAAGGATCTCAGTCATAACACTTCTGCAACACCATTGGCCATGGATCTATATTATGCTTCTGCATTGGAGCGAGCAACAACATTTTGTTTCTTGCTTCTCCAGGAATCAAGATTTCCCCCCACAATGCACAATATCCAGTGGTGGATTTCCTATCATCAACACATTCAGCCTATTCCGCATTTGTATACACTTCTATTTTCATGTGACCATTATTCTTGAAGAGTATACCTCTCCCTGGACATCTCTTTAAGTAGGCAAGAATCCTTTCTACTGCAAGGAGGTGGGTGGTTCTAGGAGAATGCATGTATTGACTGACAACACTGACAGCACAAAAAAATATCTAGCCAAGTTAGGCAGAGATAAAGAAGTTCCCCAACCAGCCTTTGGTACATAGCCCTGCCCTCAAGAAGTTCTCCATTTTCTGCACTTATTTTATGAATAAGCTCAATAGGTGTGTCGGCAGATTTCACTCCTAACTTTCCAATTTCTTCCAATAAGTTCAGAGCATACTTCCATTGAGAGATAGAAATGCCATGTTTAGATCGAGCTATCTCAATTCCTAGGAAATAGTGCAATTCCCCTAGGTCTTTCACTTCAAATTCCTTATGAAGATGTTGTTTAAGAGTTTCAATTTCACTAATGTCACTCCCTGATATCACAATGTCATCTACATAGACTACAAGTGAGAAGTCATTGTCACTGTGGACTAATGAGTAGGCCTGAGATAGAGTCACGCTCTCCCTAGTGAGAAGTCGTTGTCTTGTAATATCAAAATCTGAATTTATACCAGCTAAGAACTCAAAAACCCTATTTGTTTCAATCAATTTTCTATATGTTGTTGCATCCTTTTGGCTTTCCCATTCAATAGTTTCCAAGTGATCAATTTTGTGCCAAAGGGATTTTAGAGTAACAAAATATACTGAGACGGGCTTCTCACTTGCTTGAGGTTTTTCTCCTCACATTTTAGCTCATAAGCTCTAGCAACATTGAGGGGTTGGGACTTAGGAATAGATCTCCTTCATGCTGTTCCAAATTTCCTTGGCTGTTTTTGCCCATAGATAGTTTTGGCTGATGTGGGGTTGTATAGAGTTGCATAGCCAAGTCATCACCAAGCAGTTCTCTTGAACCCATCTTGGATGAGATGTATCATCCTTGGTTGGTTCTTTTGTGTCTCTGGTTACATACCCTAATTTCCCTCTACCCCCAATGGCCATCATTGCCGATTGGGCCCATTCCAAGTAATTTGTTCCATCAAACCTAAAAGTGGTAATCCGGAACGAATTTTCTGTCATATTACCAGTCCCAAAAACTTCCCCTTTAGTTTTCACCTCACTTCCATCCTTTTCCATACTAAGTAGATCACAATACTCCAAGAAGAAAAAAAGTTTTCTACTGAAATACCAACAATCTAGAAACTGATCTCAGCAAAGAATGAAAACCAGAACTTAATTTCAGTCAACAGTTCCTTCTCAAAACTGTAACTTTAATCAAGAATACCAGAGAATAACAGTCTAGAAACTGATTTCAGCAAAGAATAAGAAACAGAACTTTAACTTTAATCAAAACATCAGAGAACAACAGCCAGAAACTGATTTCAGCAGGGAACAAGTCTTGATTTTAAAAGGAGCAAGGTGATCTCAGATCTATTATGTTGCTGCTAAAAGAAAGTTATCTAAGATCGAATAACCTTTAAAGGTTGCACCTTTTTCAGAAAAGAAAGCTGATCATAAAAGAAATCTCGATAACTTCTATCGAGTTACCTTAAAGGTTGTACCTTTCTCAGCAACAAGAACTTTGATCAACTTCTTTGGTTTGAAACTTTAACCTTGATCGAATCTGAATTCTTTCTCAGAATTCTGATCATCCTCTTGGTTTGAAACCCTATCTTGATCAAAACTGATCTCTGATTCTTCCTGGTCACCGGATCATTCTCCAAGAATCTTTTCACTTTCTTGGGCAGTCTTCAGTACTCCAGTAATCTCCAAGAACCAGACGGCTGCTGCTGTAGAGATCTTGATCTAATGGATTTTCATGAGGCCAACCAGATCAGGCTAACATGAGAACCCTAGTTTTTCTCCCAATAGCTGTTATACCAACTTGAAGAAAGCTAGTGGACTTCTGTCTTAAAAGAAAAAAGGAAGAAAAGAACTAGATTTGAAGAGAAGAGAAAAGAGAGAAAGAGGAGAAGAAAGGGGTTCGGTTGATGAATTCTGCCACCCCATACACTTCATTATATATAGTTTTGGTTCCTTACAAGAATAGGAGATAAAACATAAAATCCCAGTCCTAATAAAACAAAACATAACATGGACAAGGCCAGCCGGCCCATCTTAAAAGGAATTAAAATAACTAGGTGTGGGTATGGAACCACACACACTAGAGCCTGAGTGTGGGTATGGAACCCCACACTCGTGGCTTACTAACTACTACTACAGACTGTACTCAACACATTACTAAAAAAATAAAAACAATAGTAATGATAATTAATTAAAGCAGCTCCATAGATGATGCTTAAAATTATCATTATGAGATGAAGGAAATTACTAAGTGAGCATAACAGAAACATCTGTATTCTGGCCAGCAGGCTTCACTAACCCTAGATAACAAAGCAGACACATCAATTAGCAATACCTCAACAGCCAAAATCAACAATGCATGTCTAGATGTATCAGAAATTCAAAACATATGTAAGAGGCTTATAGTACTAATCAGTACAAAGTAACTTCCTTGCCACATAAGCATCCTAGTACCTGCTACGATGAGATTGAAACTTGATATTCAGATCAGTGTGTGCAGAAAATGAGATACGCAAGTGACATGATCCAACATGTTCTGGAAGCAAATACCTAAAAGTCAAAAATCAGTCACATGTGTCAGAGCAAAGACACATTTATCGATTCATTGCAAACAATTGAAGTTACATAATTATATCTATAAAGACATGCCTTGGTATACTTCTTCCATCCAATGCATTCCGGGCTGAAGATGCAGTTTCAGCATCACTAAATTGGATCAATGCCTGAAAAAATATGTAAAAACATTTTGTCAAGTTAAAGATATATGCATGAGAAGTAGGACACGGACAAGTTATCCCATATTATCAAATAATAATTATACTGCAACTGGAGACAACATGACCTGAAACCCTGCAGCCTTTTCAAATGTAGCAATTTTGTGCACAAATCCAAAAGCAGAGAAAACCTGAAATACAGAAGAGTTGGACATTTACACACCAAAATTCAAAAGAAGTCAGCAAAAGTTCTAGTCAGTGATACAATAGATTTTAATAGGAATATTAAAAGATCTCAATTAAGTGCTGGAGGGCACCTGTAGTAAAATCATTCCAATGTACTTTAAAAAGGACTATATGGACATTAATATATTTTTTTAAATGCCTCAATGACAGAAGTGAAATGGGAGTGGTCATCACCATAAGTGACGCAACCAACTTCAGTAAACAACTGCACATAACTAAATCAGGAAACCATCTTCAAACAAAATAAGAATAATAAAAAGAAAATGTCAGTCCATGGGAACAAGTTGTGGCAAAATTACTGCATCGAAGATTATATAACAACATAAGATCACCACCAACAATCTTTCACTGGATTCTGACAATAAACAATGGAAGCTTTTGGAGATGGAAAACTAATCTATGGCTCCGCATGTCTATAACTTGAATTAAGCATGACACGTGAAGAGCAGTTAGAAGAAATACCATCAGTATGATATTACGTGCACAATGCATAGAATAGAACGATCAAAAGAAAGAGATAAGCAAAACACACGTGATATTTCTCCCAATGCAGTACGCTGACAACGAGGATTTCTCCGTGTTAACATGGACCTGCTGATCCATGCAGAGTATGTCAACTAGAAGTCACAAAATCAAGTAAAGTGTAAAACCATTTTTTCCTTACAGAAATAATCTATTAAAAAGCATCTTTAAGTACTCCATCCTTTCCTACACTCGGATCAACCAGGCAAAGAAAGTCTTTCATACAGTTGGTAAAATCAATGAGCCCCAATGACATGTCAAAGATTTCTAGTGCATTGAGAACTAACCAAATGAATAACGTCTATGCTGACATCACCAGCTTCAACACCCTCAATGGTCACAAGTAAGACATTTCCAGCAACATCACCAGAGCTTTTGTTGTTGACAATTTCTTGTCGATTTGAATATTGTATGTACACAGTCTTACCACGAACTTGTGCAGGTTCAGAAGAAGAAGCATAATAGGAGACCATTGAGATTGCCTGATTCAGGTCTGCCTGCAAAAGGAAGACTCGTTTCAAAATACAGTTGCTACTTGAGAAACATAAATGAAATTGGGAAAACATAATATAAAGTATAACACATTTCAATCACTTAAAGAGTTAAGTCACCACATGGTATAAACTCATCTAATGCATAATAAAGTGAAGAAAAGAAACATTTGCTTTAAAATTGGTAAAGGAAAACTAAAAATATGACATTATGAACATGTGTAGCTCTACACAAAAATAAAAAATAAAAAAAAAATCCAATTTAGGACAAGCAAGGCTAAAATCACAAGACATGTAGCAACACAAGCAACAAAATTCCAAACCACAAGGCATGTTCTACATGACACAATAGCATTGTGCATCCAAAGTTGAGGAAATTATTTACATATTTTCTTTTAGCAATAAAACTATACAATAAGAATTAGCTGCAGTTGGAGGAGACGATAGTACTACTTTAATCAGTGAAGAGAATAACAAAATTATTGGTCTTCCAATGATTTAGGCTCAGTCTGGAAGGAGTACAAATACAATATGTACAGTGAAAATCTGTGTATTTTGTATTATTTTATATGTATTAGCACTGTACATATTTGTATTTGTACTCCTTCCAAACTGAGCCTTACAAAAAGAAAACTCAAGGAAGGAAAAGTAGGGAAAAACAAGTTCATTATGGATGGAAAAAAGAAAGGAAAGAAACAAGGGGTACAAAAATGCATGTCTTTCATAGAAATTATTTCAAGAAATACTCATTGACAACAATGCAATCAAGATACTTGAACATGGACCGCTTGTCAAACCATACAATTAGCCATTTGACTTTTTTCTAGAAACACATTTTGGCATATTAAAGGGATTCCTGCTCCCTCCTGCATTAATAAGACATAAAAAGGTTTTTTTTATCTGAAAGACAGAAGGTTCCATGTTAAACTTTCTGGACTTAACTTTCAAGTCTTGACAAGTTCCAGATTGTACATTCGGTCAGGAGGTAGAAAACAGAAATACAAAATATCCAAATTGCATCAAATCAAAGCAATAAAATTAAACACCCCAAGTTGTTGCCTAAACTTCACAAAGGATTTCTACATGGTTACAGCAAATAAGTAAAATGGTTTGAAACTGGTAACTGGCAAACAAACCAAAGCATAACACGAGCCTACTAGAGTTGGAAACGTTATTTCTCTTCGCTATTGATTTTATACGTGTAAGGGTTAACGTTTTGCTATTAATCATCTGACATTTTATCTTCCAAACAGCTAGCTTATCTTCAAAAGTAAAGGACCACCAAATATGAACTAGCAACTTCCAATTAAGGGCAGAACCTACCAAAATGCATTTCTGTATTGCCTGGGCTAACAAGCTAAGCCTATTCTCACAACATTTATTTTCTGGCAATAGTCCACTCTACCCTTGCTTCCACCATTAATCTATTTCAGCCTTGCGTATTTTAGTTGGAAAATTACCCAATCCTATTCTGGCGAAGTCATTAGACTTAATTCTATTTGGACGTCGTAAAGGGCAGCCATGGAAGCAAAGGCAACATTTCAGCAATTTCCATGGCTGAAAATAGTATATACAAACGCATCATAACAAAGATCCAAGAATAAGAACCTTCCATGTTCAGAAATTTCTATACTTTATTAGAAGAATCTACCAGATGGACGGCAATTCGGATCGAATAAACTCATGGACTATAGACCAAAGCAAAAAACAATCTCAATGCGCATCGAAATCGACGGCACAAGAGGTGAGAAGAAAAGCCAATCTGGACTCTTGAGGATAGAAAAGAAGTACTTACGAATTCAACAAAGGCTTGATTCCGATTGGCGCCGACGTTGCATTTGGTGTTGACAATCTTGCCGAAGGGCTTACAGAGTTCAACAAGCTCTTCTTCTGTGCACTCCCATGGAAGGTTACGTAGGTGCAGAACCTTCGACGGGGTCTGCGTGTACCGGAACTGAGGCTGCCCCGACGTAGAAGACATCTACGATAAAAGTTTCAAAGTTAGGATTAGGGCCTTGAAGAGGAGAGGCAGAGATGGACAAAACTATGAAATTAGGGCTTCTGCCTTGTTTTACGGGATTTTAGGACTTTGCGCGAGAGGGAGAGATGAGAGTTAAAACGAGAAAAAAACAATGTTCAGAGATGGTTTGGGTTTCGACTTACGACTCTCCGGAGAGAAGCGGCAGCCTCCTTTATTGCGAGGTAAGGACGTAATTTGCTTTACAATGGCAAGTGTTTTGACCAATAAATCCACCCATGAATTTTCATAAATAATACCTGATTCGCTATCACGTTTCTAATTTCAATTTATTGGTCAGATATTTTTCCGATATAATATCTTTTTCATATCATAGTCTAACCCGTAAGTTTTTTTCCATGTTAAGCAGCGAAAGCTGTACTCATTTAGTTGTCTTTTTCAATTTTATTTTAGGGTAAATTACAAACACCCCTCTACTTTATTTAGACTCCCTTCCAGTTTTCTGTTAAACTTGTTATTGCAATGTTTTTTAATCCCCATACTATCCTTGTAATTATTATTCAGACAATTAGAAGAAAATTACTTTATATCTTTTCTGGCCTCACGATACACAAAGAGCAATGGCGGTAATCCCTTCTACTTCAGATTCCTTCACATTTCTCTCTCTCCCCCCGATCTCTCTTTTTCCCTTTCCCATTTCTTCTTCCTATTTTTCTCTGCTTTGTCTGTTCTGTCCAAACTATCTAGTCTTTAGACTCTCCTTGGTTTTCTCTCTCCATCGCCGAAGCTAAGCTGTTAGTTCTGCAATCCCACCATGAGAAAAGTTAGAACTTGATAAAGTAACCCATTTTTTCTATATCTATAACTCCTAGGCTCGTAACTCATTAGGTCATACTACTGTAAATTATTTTGTTCGGATTAGGAAGCTTTGTTTTGTGCTTGACCAAGTTCTTAGGAGTTAGGACTAAAATAAAGCCTTCCTACCTCTCATCTTCCACACTAATCACAAGTTCAATTCTAATTTCCTTCTTCTTCTTCCAAGTTTAAAATCAGAGTTTAATGGTAAGGACTCTATTAGGTTGTCCACCATAACAATTAACCTCTCAAGACAGTAGTATTTTGTTTGTATTGAAGAACACTAGACCCATCATGAAGAACACCAGAGTCTAGTGATTAAAACACTAGAGAGTCCAAACAGAACAAAGACCAAATCATGTGTTCTGGCTTTCTGCTATTGGTGGTTGTGGTGCCGAGTCTTCCGGCCTTGCTTTCTCAGAACCGCCCCCATTGGTTGCTATGATTTAACCTAAAAAGAGTTGATCAAACCTATAGGCTATAGCATTGTTGTTCCTTTATCAGGCTTATTATAAAGGTCAAGATTCACTTTAATGGTGATGGCGTGGGCCTTACTATCCGTTGTTCATTTATTATCTTGATGAAAACTTGTTGAGAGTGATGAGAGCTCCTCGTGCTATATAGAATGAAATTCCTGCCTATGCAAAGGCTACCATCCAGCACAAGTATGATCGTCCAATCTTCTACCTCTTTGCCTTTTTGCTTGCTCAGAACAGAATTACCTTCTTCAAGGGCATTTGACATCCGGACTTTTGACGGTAATCCGGCTATGATTAAACTTATGCGGTGGAAAGAGAAGAAGACTAGACAATTTGGACAAAATAGACAGAACATATTGCTTGCTCGAAACAGAATTACCTTCTTCAGGGGCATTTGATAGACGGACTTTTGACGGTAATCCGATTATGATTAAACCTATGGGATGGAAAGAGAAGACCAAGGAGAGTCTGACGATTAGACAGTTTGGACAAAATAAACCTATGCGATGGAAAGGGGAAGAAGGGATTACCACCGTTGTTGATCGTGAGGTCAAGGAAGATGAACAATGTTTTTCTCCTAATTGTCCGAATAGTTATTATAAGGGTAGTATGGGGATTAAAAAATATTACAACGGCGGATTTCAACAGAAAGCTAATGGAAAGGGGGTCTTTGTCTCATGGTCATAGCACCGGAGGGGTCTTTGTCACAAAACAAAGTATAGGGGGGTCTTTATCATTGACCCCATAGTACAGGGGGCCTTTGTAATTTACCCTTTATTTTATGGACAAATTTTTTAAACTACCCTTATAGTTTAACTAATTGACTAACTCTATTATTAATATTTACATATTGTCTCTAATTACTCCTATCATCTATGAAACTTGTCATTGCAGTTAAGTGTCAAAAGAAAGAAATAAAATGTTAAATTTGCCCTTCACTATTCCTCAATTTTTTAAAATAAAACCTAGCAGATGAAAAAATTTAGAAAGAAGAGGAAGGGAATGGTAACTCCAACAATGATGTTTCAGAGACGCAAAAAACCTCCCAATAACAAAATATGCCAAAAGCAACTTCCCCCAACCAAAGGAAAGAAAACCGAAAAAGGGGAAGTGAGGATTGTTATCCACATCAGAGATAGAAACCAAAACATAGATCCTTCAACTTCTAGACTATCGTTTTGATTGCTCTATTGCACCATTTTGAGTGTTCGAGAGCTTCTAAAACAAGAAAAGGAATTTCTGCCACCGGTGAGAAATCTTCATAGATTTTGTTGAAAGTTCCTGGTTCAGAAAGAAGAAGAAGAGGAACAGAAATGAAGTTCTGTAAGAGGTAAGAATACATGTGAGGGCAGGAAAAACAATTACCTGGGGTTGAATTTAATAAGCTCAAGAAAATTTTGAAGAAGTGCAAGAGATATTTCCGGTTACAAGGGAACTTGATTACTCTTCTCTCTCTACCCATCAGTTCTTCTTCAACTCACACTTACTAGCAATAGTTGACGGATCATGGAACTCAAATACTTGCTCAGCCTCTACAGGTTTGTACTTATTGTTTTATACACACAATGTTTGCATTACAGAAGGACAACAATGCCATGCCATTAACACCATAAAAGTTGAAATCTGGGCAGTCATCAGAGGCCTAAAAAGACTTATTTTGTTGGGAAACAGTAAAGCCACTCTTCTATCAGATGCAAATGATGTTTTGTTAAAGCTCAAAGGAACCATTGGAAACATTACATGGAACTAACAGACTATGCTAGAGCACATTAAGTATCTCCTTACTTTTTTTTGTTGACCTAAAATTAATGTATATAAACAAGAAGGATGTTAGCCCTACTCATGCTATAGCGACGAGGGCAAATGTAAATAGAACTCTCTAGACCTCTGCCACAGAGAAATCACTCATACTTTTGTAATAGAGGTCTGATTTTGTATCCTTGATTTTGGTATTTCTAATGGATCCTTTGCTTAAAAAAAAAAAAAACATGTCCCCAACAATGCCCCGTTATTCTTTCCTTTGATTATTTGATCAGTTATAATGTGGACCCTATTGTTTGATTTGATGGTTTCCCTTATTAGGGATTGCTCTTTGTATGATATGATATCTTTGTTGTATCTTGTATGTGGTAAATGGATTGACAATAATCGTGGCTGAGTCATTGGTCATTGTCAACTCGGTCTTTTTTTCCGTTTCCTACTTTCCTATGTATGAATTATCAGAAAAATAAGGGGGGATTGTCAAGAGATTTTGTCTTTATTTTTCATGTTTTTTTCTAATATATTTATTTTGTTAAGAATAAAGCTTTTCATGTTTTGGGTTTATAAGGTATAACCCTCTAAATTGGAAGATAATTTGAGTCAAGTCTTGATTGTCTTATCTTATTCAGAATGATCCAGAAAACTATTACCAAGTTAAAGAAATGCAGTTTTTTATCTCCTTTTTTTGCTCTGATTATCTATTAGAATTATATAAAATTAATGTTTCTGAAAAACACCAGAAACTTGAAATCCGTTTGGAATTTTGAAGTTTTAAACTTCTAATTCACAGAGTGCTACATACGTGGGAGACATAGATGGTTTCTTGCTTTTATTCTTTGGTTCTATTTCCCGGTTTATTTGTTTCCTGAATATCACATAACACAAGAAAGAGCCTCCGTGTATTATTTTTTTCCTCCAAAATAGCCTACAATGCAAGCACAAATGGCTATTGATGATGCGCAATCCGACCATTCCTAGCTAGAAGTGACTATGCTTCTAGCTGGCGACGGGCAAGAGATACCTGCGTGAAAAGAGATGAAGGAACCCGAGGTTGCTTACTCGGCGGGAACACTCCGATGCTTAAGTTAGTACTCGGTTGTAAGCTGGAAGAGAACAAGTTTGCAAGAAGATGAGAAAGCTAGAGAGTGGTGAATATGCGATACCTTGGCCCCTGGGGGGTTGAAATCTTTATATACTAACATTCAGGCAGGTTTGGAGGGGCTGATCCCAAATCTCTGTCGCGGCGATCTGTTGTCAGGTAACGCCTCGGAGTGATTGGCTGTTATCGTCAGGACTGGGGAGCAAGTGGGCTAATGCGACCGTTGTAGGGTACGGTCCCGCCAGGCAGGAAACAACCTCTGGGGTTGGTAAGCATGACGCCGCCAGACGAGAGACAATGAGTGTAGTCCTCAGAGTTGTCAGATACTGCGCCGTCAGACAAGAGACGTGGGAGCAGCCTTCGGGATTTGGCAAGTACGGTTGTTAGACAGGAAGTTTCTCGCGGGACACCGAGCTACTCGATAACGAGCAGCCTTGTAGCGAGCTACTTGTGATGAACTGTTAGTGATGTGCCGAGGTGGTTCTGCCCGATGTGAGCCGTCTCTGAGGCAGCTCACTTGCCTGGGTCTAGACTGCCACGAACTTGATCATTTTAATTCGCGAACTGGGATGAACTCGTCCCGAAGTACCTTCAGCTCGGGACATTATCGTACCCGAACTCACTCCATAGCGAGCTGATACTTGCTGAGTTGTCATCTACGTTGTCATGTCCACGTGTCGATCTGCTCATGTCGAGTCACGTACACGTGTCGCCTGATTATGAGGTCGGGCCAAATCACTCTTCATCAATTACCCCCCACTCCCCGAGCTAGGGGTCCTGACCTAGTGCGGGGAGTTCATGATGTGACGAGTGGATTTGGCTCAGAGTTCAGGTTGCCCCGTTAGATCGGGTGTAGCTTACACGCAGACGTCACATGAACTATAAGTCCCGTGAACGCCAAAAAATGCGCTAAATTGTCTTTGGTCTCGAGGGTCGTGCAGCCAGTTTTCTTGTGAGCCGTCAGATTGCTTTGATCTGGACCGTT